TACCTAATAATAATATTACTTTATATCTTTTAATTCTACCTTTTTTTATAGTATAAGATATTTTTTTTATTTCTACAATTTTTTCTATTAAATTAATTTTATTAATATTATTATTTTTAATAATTATATTATTATATTTATATATATAAAAATATATATAATGTATATTATATATATTATAAATATCATTATAATATATGCTTTTATTATCCATATAATATATTTTTATATATAATATTAATAAAGTATAAATTTTATATAAATAATTATTATTTTTATTATATTTATTATTTAATATTATAAATATAAATATACTTCTAAATAATATTAAAATATAATATAATATATAAAAATTTTTTAATTTATTATTATTATTAATTTTTACTATCATATTATTTTATTTTTTTTATACCTAATTCTTTATATTTATTAATATATTGAAATGAATTTATTAATTCTCCAATAGAATTTAAAATACTTAAATTATTACTATATAAACATATAATATTTTTATTAATATAACTTTCACAAGATATTAAATTAGGTAATTTAATAATTATTTTATGACTATATTTTAATTTAAATATTAAAATTTTATATTTATTTAAATAATAAAATTTATAATTTATACCTATAATATTTAAATTTAATTTATATATAATATTTACATTATTATACATATTATAAAATATATATTTATATACTTTATATAATAAATAAAATATACTATTATTTACAAAAAATATATAAATATCGTTTAATATATATATATATTTTATTATTTTTTTATCTTTTTTATTATATACTATATAAATATAATCAAAATTTTTTTTATCTAAAATTAAATAATAATATATATTATTTTTATAATTATTATTATTAAAAAAAATATATTTTTTTAACATTTTATTTATTATATATATTTAAAAAATATAAAATATTAAAATACCCCCAATCTTATATTTTAAAGATAATATATGTGTAATAAATTTATATTTAGATGAATATAAAATTAATAATCCTTTAAAATATTTATTATATTTTATAAAATTTAATAATTTTTTATAATTCATATAAAATAATTGATTATATTTTATATAAATTTTAAAATAATTAATTTTTTTATATTGATTTAAAATTATAAAAAAATAAAATTTACTATTTATATTAATAATATAAAATTTTAATATATAATTATAATTATATAATAAATTTATTAAATAATAAATATTTTTACTAAATTTATATAATATAAAATTTTTATTTAATTTTAAATTATATTTAATCTTATTTAATAATTTAATTATCATTTAAATATATTTTATTTTTAATTTTTTCATATTTATATTAGATTTATACTTAATATATTTAGATATATAATAATTACTTTTAGTACCTACAGAATTTAAATTATTATTTAAAATTATAACTGCATTTTTATTAAATTTAATAGAATAATATAATTTTAAATTTAAAAATTTTTTTTGTTGTACTAAAATACCCTTACATTTATCTGACTTTTTATATAAATTATTATTATATATTTTATATACAACCCCAATTAATATATCACCATATTTTATTATTTTAGATTTTTGTAAAACATTTATATATTTAAATTTAAATATTCCACTATTATCTATAACATCTAATATACTATTTATATGTATCATAAAATTTTTATTATTCTATTATTACAATATTTACTTTTTTTATAATATTTAATCAATACATAATCATTTATCATAATCTCATTTCTACTATCATATACTTTAATATATAAATTATTTAATAATAATTTTTTATATTTAAAATTATATATATAATATGAAATACAAATTATTTTTATATTATTATTTATTTTTTTTAAAACATAACCTATTTTTATCATTATATTATTTTTAATTAATCTTTCTTATATATTGTAATTTAAAATTTAATTTATAAGATAATCTTTTAATTATACAAGAAATAATTTCTTCAGATACATTACTTATTTCAAATAATAATTTATTTCTTTTTATAACACTTACATATAACTCTATAGATCCTTTACCTGATCCCATTCTTGTCTTTAATGATTTTTTAGTTAAAGACTTATTACATTTTATACATATATAATATATTCCTATTTTTTTTATATATTTATTTATTATAAATTTAGAAGTTTCCAATTGTTTTTGTGTTATAAATCCAGAATTTAATGAAATTATACCCCAATATAATTTTAAAAATTTCAAATTAAATACACCTCTTATTTTACCTTTTTGTGTTTTTTTTATATTATTTATCATTTTTATTAAAAATTAACCCACACTTTTATACTTAAAATACCATATTTAATATTTATAATATCATTAATGTATTTTATTTTATTATTTAAAGTACTTAAAGATATATTACCATATGTATATATTTCAGTTTTAGTTTTTAAACTATTTTTAAAACAACCTGAAAATTTAATTTTTAATCCTTTTATATTATAATTATATTTCTTTAATAAATTATTATATAAATAATCAAATATTAATTTTAATGATTTATATTTTATATAATATTGTTTAATATAAAACATAATTATATTAATATTTATATTATCAATATATTTTATTTTTAAATAACAAATATAATTATAATGTTTATAATAATAAAAATTAAAATAATTTAACATTATAAATATATATTTTAAATTATATATATTATATTTTATATTCTTATATAATGAAATTAATATTATAAACTTATTATTATATAAATTTATATTAATATCTATATAATTATTAAAATTTTTATAATTATATATATTATAATATAAAAAATAAATTAACAATATATTTATTAAATAATATTTATTTTTATTTATATTAATATAAAAATTATTTATATAATTTTTATATATTACACTTCTAAATATTAAAGGATGTACTTTTTGTCCCATAATTTAATTTACTAATATTTCTTTAATATTATATTTTATATATTTTGTATATATAAAATTACCTATTTTTTTATATAATTTATTTTTATTAATATAAATAGGTATAAATTTATATCCATTATATACTTTTATATATAAATTTAATAATTTTTTATAAATATATAAATTTTTATTATATATATTTAAAATTATATTTTTATTATATTTATTTTTTAAATTTTTAAATATATATTTATTATTTATTGAAATTTTTAACCAATATAATTTTACCATCTTTTTATTAAATATATAATATTAAATTATTTTTTTGTTTTATATCCCTTAGAATTTAATCCCTTTTTAGAACAAGGATATTTACGACCTATAGAAGTTTTCCCTTTACCACCACCATGTGGATGATCACATACATTCATAGCTTTACCTCTAACCTTAGCTTTTTTATTATAATATATATTATAACCAGCATTTTTTATTTTATATTTGTTATATAAAATATTACTATTTATACCTATATAACAAAAATTATTATAATTTAAATATTTAAATTTTTTAGATGGTAATTTTATATATACTAAATTTTTATAAAAAACTAATATTTGTGCAAAAGTACCAGCTGATCTAGCAAAAATACCACCTTTATTATTATTAGATATATTATATATATATGTACCTAATTTACAATATTTTAATTGTAAATAACTACCATTTTTTATATTATTTATACTAGTTATATAATAAATAGAATTTAATATATAATTATGCTGTAAAATAATATATTTTTGTAAATTATTAAATTTATAAGATAAATATAATATACAACCAATATAAGTATTTCTAAAATAATTTTTTAATTTTTTAAATAAAATTATTTTATAATTAATATTTATATTATAATTATCATACCAAAAATCTATTAATTTATAATTATATTTTAATTTACCCCCACCTTTATTATAAATAGTAATATTTCCTAAATTATTTTTACCAAAATTTTTTAAATATTTATATGTATTATATTTTTTTAATTTTAATATCATTTAAATAATATATAATATTTTTTTAAAAAATTTTTTTTATTTATTAAATTAATTTTAATATTATTAATTTTAAATATATATTTAATCATATATTTTATATCTAATTTTGTTAAATATTTATTAGTATATATTATTAAATATTTATTATTTATAAAATTAATTTTATAAAATATATTATTTAAATAAAAATTTAATATAACTTCTTTCATATTTTAAATAACAAATATTATATAATTATATATTATTAAATTTATTAATATAAATTTATTATTTATATTATTAATATTTAATATTTTATAATTATTATTCAATATTATACCATTAAAATATAATATTTTATCTATTAAATTTTTTATAGTAAATTTATATATATTTTTTATATATATAATATTTAATAAATTTAAAATATCTTCAAATTTTATAATTAAAATATTACTACGTTTATTTATTAATAAATATATAAAAATTAATTTATATATATTCTTATTATATTTAATATTATCTTTTTTACTAAAAGGACCAAACGTACAAGCACCTTGTTTACATATAGGAGAAGATAAATTTTTTAATCTAGCTTTACCTAGTCCTTTTTGTGTTCTTATTTTTTTTTTACTAAAATTTATTATACTTCTATTTTTTGTATATTTATATTTATATATATAATTTATATAATAATATTTTAAAATATAAATTATTAACTTATATATTTTAATATAATTATTTAAAGATATTTTTATAAAAAAATTATATTTATATTTAAATATAATATTATTAAATATATTATTATTTATATTTAATACAATAATATTATCCATTGTAAATATTTATAATAAAATATTTATATATTTCAGAAAAATAGGATTTGAACCTATATTCTTCTATTCCCAAAATAGATATGTTACCATTACACTATATTCTGAATAAATATTTAATACTTTTAAGGAAAATCGAATTCCTATTTTCTTCTTGAAAAAAAGATGTCTTACCTTTAAACGATAAAAGTTTAATATAATATATATTGTATATGAATTACCTGAGATTTGAACTCAGAACCATTCGATTAAAAGTCGAGTACTCTACCAAATTAAGCTAGTAATTCTTTAATAACGAACTTGACGAGAATTGAACTCGTAATCTTTATTATGACAAAATAATATTTTAACCAAATTAAACTACAAATTCTTTTAGAGAAAAAGGGATTCGAACCCTTGGTATATATATTAGAATTTATATACAATAAATTAGCAATTTATAGCTATAAACCACTCTGCCATTTCTCTTTTTATTTTTAAGTTAAATCAGATTTGAACTGATGTAGATATATAATCAATGGATTTACAGTCCATTCCTTTTAACCACTCAGGCATTAACTTTTATTTTATACATTTAAGTAGATTCGAACTACTGATGATCAATTTATGAAAATGAATTATGAGTCCATTGCTTTCGACCACTTAGCTATAAATGTAATATATATTAGAGATAAAGGGATTTGAACCCTTACAACAATAATGTTAATGGATTTTCTATATAAATTTAGACTTTTTTTATATATATAAAGTCGTTTGAATATATTTTATTTTATATATTACAGAATTAAAAAATATTTTCTTATATATTATTTATTATTAATTATTAATTAACTCATATTTAATTTAAGTCCATTGTGTATACCAAATTTCACCATATCTCTTTATTTTTTATTAAATGATATTCAGAATTGAACTGAAAAACAATAATTTGCAATTATTTACTTTACCTAATTAAGTTATATCATTATTACTTTTAATTAGATAAATAATGAGAATTGAACTCATATAAAAGAAACCACAATTCTTTATCTTAACCTTTAGATTATATTTATCATATTTAAATTATATTATTATATACATATAATATATTATTTAATAATATATTATTTAATATTTTAATTTTTAAATTATATATACATATAATAAAATATTCATTAAAACTAGATATTTTAATAAAATTATATTTATATAAATTTAATATATAAATATACATATTATATTTATATATTAAATTTTTTAAAATTATATATTTAATATTATTATTAAAAAAAATAATATCATTATTTTTTATTATTCTATTATAATATTTACAATTAATATTATTTATATAAATATGCTTATATTTAATAAAATGTCTAGATTGTAATATAGTTTTAAAAAACCCTATATTAACTAAAAATGTATCTAATCTTATTTCTAATATATTTAATAATTTAAAATATATATTATTTTCATTATAATTTTTTATTTGTTTCATATAAGATAAATATTGATTAAATGTTATACAATAATTATAACAAATATATCTTATAAATTTTAATTTAAAATCAAAATAAGATTTATACATAATTTTAGATTTTTTTAATTTATAATTATATTTACTTGATAAATATAATAAAAAAGGAATATTTAGTTTTTTTAAAATTTTTATTTTTGGTTTTAAAAATTTTATCATAATAGTAATAATGTATTATAAATAATAAAAGCTAATGGTGAGATTTGAACTCATAATCTACTGATTACAAATCAGTTGCTTTACCAATTAAGCTACTTTAGCAAAATTAATATTAATAATTAAATAGTCAACTTATTAGGAATTATATACTAAATATATCACTATAAATACATATTAATCCTATAAAATAATTTTTCTAATTATTGTTTTATTCATTTATATGATTAGAATATTATTTTTAATTAAATTTTCTTATTTATATGATTTCAATAATTAAAATTTTATACTTAACTACTCAACATTACAATAAATAATAATTGATGTATCATTGGTATAATTTTTTTGATCCTCTCGTACTAAAAAAAATAATTTCAATATTCTAACACTTATATTAGATATGGACCGAACTGTCTCACGACGTTCTGAACCCAGCTCACGTATCGCTTTAATAGGCGAACAGACTTACCCTTAAAACATACTACTGCTTTAGGATGCGATAAGCCGACATCGAGGTGCCAAACCTTTTCGTCAATGTGGACTCTCGGAAAAGATTAGCCTGTTATCCCTAGAGTAACTTTTATCCGTTAAGCGATAATTTTATCATTATATAATTATCGGATCATTAAGACCGACGTTAATCTCTGTTTAATTTGTATATTTTACAGTTAATTATATATATATCTTTATATAATAAATATAACATTGTACACCTCCGTTTTTATATAGGAGGAGACCGCCCCAGTCAAACTATCTTATAAATATTGTTTAAAATTTTGTTATAAAAATTTTATAAGAATTTATATATATAAAAAATGGTATTTCACTTATAACTACATTATTTCCAAAAAAATAATATTTTTATTTCCCATTTATTCTATGTTTTATATATATATTTTCAATATCTATTAATAGTAAAGCTTCATAGGGTCTTTCTGTCCCAATATAAGAAATCTGCATCTTCACAGATATTTTTATTTCATTAAGATTTTTTTTAAGACAGCATTTAAGTCGTTACATCTTTCATGCAGGTCGGAACTTACCCGACAAGGAATTTCGCTACCTTTGGACCGTTATAGATACAGCCGCCGTTTACTATAGCTTATATATATATTATAATTTTATATTACATATATAATTTTTACATAATAGCACTGGGCAGATGTCAATCTTTATACATCATCTTTCGATTTAGCAAAGATTTGTGTTTTTGTTAAACAGTCGCTTAAATCTTTTATTTTAAACTTTATAAGTATCTCTTATCCCTAAGTTACAAGATAAATTTGCCGAGTTCCTTAAAAAAAATTATCTCAACTTCTTAGTAATATATACCTATTTACTAGTGTCAGTTTACGGTACGAATATATAATAATAAATATATATTTATAATTTTTGTATAATATAATAATATTATTATATTAGTTTTAATATATAAATTATTATATAGTATAAGAATATTAACTTATTAACTATCGACTACACATCACATCTCGTCTTAAGATTCGACTAACCCTATTTAAAATAATAATAAATAGGAAACCTTAAATTATAGAAGTATTGGATTTTTACCAATATTTACATTACTCAAATTAGCATTATCACTTTTGATTTTATTATTTTAATTTACATATAAATAAAATATCATCAAAACGCTCTTTTACCAATTTAATATATTAATATTAAATTTTATAATATCGATAATTAATTTATTTTCGATTATTTTTGAATTAAAATTACTAAATTAATGAGCTTTTACGCACTCTTTAAAAGATAACTGCTTCTAAATTTACTTTTTAATTATTTAAATAATTTTATATTCTTTTTAAAACTTAATTAATATTTAAAAATCTTAATTTATAATTCGGGCTGTTTCCCTTTTGAAAATAAAGCTTATCCTTTATTTTCTGATAATATATATATTTTATTAAATAAAATTCTTAAATTATTTTTATTAATATTAATTATTATAATTAACTTAATAAAAAAAGAGTTTTACATTTATTTATATATAAATACTATACTTACATATATTTCAAAGAGAACCAGCTATATTCAAATTCGATTGGCATTTCACCACTAATTACATTTCATTTGATACTTTTGCAACAGTAATCAATTCAAACTATAATTTAATTTTATTTAAATTTAATTTTAAACATAATTAGATCATTTGATTTCGGGTCTATAATAAATAATATATCTTAATGTTTATTATTTATAAATAATAAACTCGATTTCACTTTGGCTCCATTTTATTAAATATTTAACCTAATACTTATACTATTTATTATAACTTGCTAATTCTTTCTTCAACAAGAATATAATAAAATTAATTTAAATTTTATTATAATTTATTAAATTTAAAATTCAGGTTCTTTTCACTATTTTTTCAAAATTCTTTTCATCTTTCCCTCACGGTACTATTTCGCTATCAACTTTTATTATATTAAATTTTATAAGATGATCCTTATTATTATATATTTATAATACTATTCATATAAAATATATTTTTATATTACTTTATTAAAATTTTACATATAAGAATGTTTTAAATATTTCAGTTCGCTCACCACTACTATGAAAATCGTTGTTACTTTATTTTCCTTTAAGTACTAAGATGATTCAATTCCTTAAGTATTTTAAAAATATTTATATAAAAATATTTTATTCAGACACTTTTATAATAATATAAAAAATATTAATAAAAATTTTAAATATATTTATTTTTATTAATTATTATAAAAATTTCGTTAATATATTTAACGTCTTTCTTCAATAATAAAAATTATAGACATCCTTTTAAATTTATTATATATATTTAATTTTATTATTTACAATAATTATATACTAAATTAATATTATACTAAATAAGCGAAAAACGGAATTGAACCGATTACCTTCGGAGCATGAATCCGACGAACTTTCCTTATGCTCTATTTCGCTATTAATAATTAAACTTGAAAAGAATTGAACTTTTATTTTATAACTCGTATTTATATATTTTATCCATTAAATTACAAGTTTATTTATAATAATAAATATATAATAAATAAGTAATTAACTTAGAGGTAAAGTTTCTGCTTTACATACAGAAAATCATTGGTTCGATTCCAATATTACTTATAATTACTATAAATCTATAATTTAATGGATAAAATAAAAACCTTCTAAGTTTTATATGTAAGTTCAAATCTTACTAGATTTAAAATAAATATTATAATGAATATGGCGAAATGGTAAACGCACTAAATTTAGAATTTAGTATTTTAAATAAGAGTTCAAATCTCTTTATTCATATTTAAAATATACTTCTTAAACTAGAGTTGAACTAGTATCTTTCGGTTAACAGCCGAATGCTTTAACCACTAAGCTATTAAGAATATTATAAGTATTATTATAATAATAGGAAATAGGGAATATAGTTTAATGGTAAAATCTTATTCTTGCATAATAAAAATAGTAGTTCAATTCTACTTATTTCCATATTAATATCTATATATGTTATAAATAATTAAATTAATATATTATTATATTGCGAGTTTGATCCTAGCTCAGAATTAACGCTAGAAATATACATTACACATGCTAATTTATGATAATATCATAGTGTATAGGTGAGGATATATAAATTTTTAATTTTAAATAGATTATAATATTAATAATAATAATCTATATGCGCATATTTTATATAAAATATTGTACTATATTAAAAATTATTATTGTTTAAAATAAAATTTATATTTGATTAACTAGTTGGTAAAATAAAAGCTTACCAAGGTTATGATCAAAAATTGATTTGAAAGAATGTACAATCACATTAGGATTGAAATAAAGCCTAAATTTTTTTTAAAAATCAGCAGTGAGGAATATTTTACAATGAGCGTAAGCTTGATAAAGTAATATTTCTTAAAGGAAGACAGTATTTTTAAAATATTGTAAACTTTATATTTTATTTTTAAATATTGATAAAAATAAAAAATAGTAT